TCTACATCTTCCCTTGTTACAGGGAAGTGGAAAGGGTGGTGGGGAGGGTGTTCTACATCTACCCTTGTTACAGGGAAGTGGTAAGGGTGGTGGGGTGTGCGTTCTACATCTACCCTTGTTACAGGGAAGTGAAGGAAGTGGAAAGGGTGGTGGGATGTGTGTTCTACATCTTCCCTTGTTACAGGGAAGTGGAAAGGGTGGTGGTGGTGGGGTGTTCTACATCTACCCTTGTTACATGGAAGTGGAGGAAGTGGAAAGGGGGGTGGTGTGTGTGTTCTACATCTATCCTTGTTACAGGGAAGTGGAAAGGGGGGTGGGGTGTGTGTTCTACATCTACCCTTGTTACAGGGAAGGGGAAAGGGGGGGGGGGTGTGCATTCTACATCTACCCTTGTTACAGGGAAGTGGAAGGTGTGGTGGGGGCGTGTTCTACATCTACCCTTGTTACAGGGAAGGAGAAGGGGTGGTGGGGGTGTGTTCTACATCTACCCTTGTTACAGGGAAGTGGAGGAAGTGGAAAGGGTGGTGGGATGTGTGTTCTACATCTTCCCTTGTTACAGGGAAGTGGAGGAAGGTGAAAGGATGGTGGGGTGTGTGTTCTACATCTACCTTTGTTACAGGGAAGTGGAAAGGGTGGTGGGGTGTGTGTTCTACATCTTCCCTTGTTACAGGGAAGTGGAAAGGGTGGTGGGGTGTGTGTTCTACATCTACCCTTGTTACAGGGAAGTGGAAGGGGTGGTGGGGTGTGTGTTCTACATCTATTCTTGTTACAGGGAAGTGGAGGAAGTGGAAAGGGTGGTGGGGTGAGTGTTCTACATCTACTCTTGCTACAGGGAAGTGGAGGAAGTGGAACGGGTGGTGGGGTGTGTGTTATACATGTTTTCTTGTTACGGGGAAGTGGAAGGGGTGGTGGTGGGGTGTTCTACATCTACCCTTGTTACAGGGAAGTGGAAAGGGTGGTGGGGTGTGTGTTCTACATCTACCCTTGTTTTGAACCTTGCTTTTCTGTAGCCAAGATAATCAAAATTGGATTGGAATTATAATTTATTACTGAATCAGACAGGTCTTGAATGAATACAGTCAAGTTAACTCGGAGACATATATAAGTTTACACAGTAAAAGTGGCTTCCAGTTATTGGACAAAGACGTCATTTCTTTTTGCAGAAAATTGAAGACAGTTACTTACTGGAATTCAAGTTGTGTTTTTATATTCATCATTTTCTTCAATGACTGCAAAAACAAAAGAAAGAGAATATACAAACTGGTTATAACCAGTAAAGTGAATTTAAAAGAAAATATGCAGACATTAATATCCATACTGCTATGCTATCAAGGTATCCAGTTTAAACATTTTTAGGTCACCTGAGACAAAGTCTCAAGTGACCTATTGCGATCGCCTTTTGTCTGGCGTGCATCCGTGAACAATTTACACTTTCAACTTCTTCTCCAAAACCCCTGAACCAATTTCAATGTAATTTTGCAGAAACCTTCCATGGCCATAGGTCAACCAAACTTGTGAATTATATGGTCCTTATAGCCCCCAGGGGCATGAGGGGACGGGCCCAAAAGGGTCAAATTGACTAAAATTTCAAAGATCTTCTTCTCAAGATCCAGATATGGTAGAATCAAATACTTTTCATAGATGGAAGGGTCTTAAGGTGCTTTACCAAAATTCAGCTGACTGACAGAACCTCTATTTGTACACAGTACATATACTAACCAGATCTTTCACACTACTTTTGCATTACATGTAGTTCAAGTTAACTTTGTTACAAAATGATTCCTTTATCATTTGGCAACATCGATTACATCAGCTTTTACATAACTCAGGTGACCGTTAAGGCCCATGGGCCTCTTGTTTATAAAGTTTTAACACTTCTGTCATGCAGAACATTTCTAAAATGTCTGTAAGAGGATTCATACAGATGTGATCTAAGCTTTGGGCAAAGATCATAAACTGTTATAATTTTCTACTGTTTAATTATTTTCCACTGTTTAAGCACATTGGTATGGACATTTTCAATTTAATATTTAAAAATACTCAGACTCAAACTTACCTCTGATGAATTTTGAATGATATTTTCTTGATAGGTAAAATTCTTTTCAGCCTGTGCCAACAGCTGAAAAGAGATGGAACAAAAATTGTTATCATATATATATACCTGTGTAAGAGGAGAAAGAGAAATGCAACTGCCAGACTGGTATTCAAACACAGGACCCTCTGAACTCTAGATGGACACTGTACCAATTGAGCTACCTGATTGCCGATTAACAACCCAGTCAAGTTCTGCTACATTAATTCCTCCCTCCTTTTTCTAAGTCCTCACCCACAAAGACAACACTATGTACACAGGTCCAGGTTTTCCCTTGCCAAGCATTCACTCAGTGCTTGAAACAAGGGTTTGTAAGCTCACCGATTTTGTAACGGGAGAAAGAGAGATACAACGGCCAGACCGGAATTCAAACCTGGGACCCTCTGAACTCTACCAATTGAGCTACCTGGTTGCTGATGAACAACCCAGTCCAGTTCCACTACACCTGAAGAATGTCCCTAAAGCTCAGCGGTAGAGTGACTAAGTAGAAAGCCTGGGATAGTGGGTCCTATCCCCTGCAAACGCATGTATTCTTTTTCACTACTTCCTTCTTAAATGTTTCTGATGTAATCGGACGAGGAATAGTGATAAAGAAAGTGCCTTCGCTGTGGCTCAAACCAGCGACCCTTGGCTCCCCAGCCAGATGCTTTACTGCTGAGCCAAAGGGAAATTCTCTACAGCTGACCCATGTAAGGCAACCTTATCAATGTACATCTTTTACACTATTCCCCCCTCTTTGAAAAACCAACCAAGGTTCTTTGACTCCCCACCAAGGATTCTCCTACCTTGAACAGGGAGGGTCAACGGCACCAGTTTGAAATAGGACGAGGAATTGTGATAAAGAAAGTATTGTGGCTGTGTCTCGAACCCGCGACCCTTGGCTCTCCAGCTCTACTGCTGAGCTAAAGGGAAATTCCCTACAGATGACGCTTGTTAGGCAACCAAATCAATACACATCTTTTACAGTGATATAACATGCGCTGTTACATTGTAATTATATAAAAACAGAATACATTTTATCGGAAGCGTTCTTTATTGCAAACCATAAGCAGAAAATAGATTTTATATTAAAGTTGACGGTTTATCATAACGTTATGATTAACCGTCAAAACTGGAGACGCCATGCATATTAAAGCGGTAATGGCGATGATAGATGCCATACTTCGCTGGATTTCGAAGATCTGACCACATATCTTGTCAGAGATCCAAGATCTCCGATGTTCTGTGAAACTTTCTCGTTAAGTCGTGTCTTGGTCTCTGCGTTCCATTGGATCGAAGCCATCTCTCACACCCATCAAAACAAAATTCGATGTTGATTATTGTAAACAAGCATCAAATTGATACAGACTAAGGTGACTACAGGAAGAACCGAAAAGCGGGTGCACACCGTGACTGTATTTACATATCGGTAATGATTCTGGCTTCAGGAGAACACTAACTCCGTTTTTGTTCTTTAGACATTTTCAAAAAAGTCTTCAGAAATTCAATGTTTGATAATATTTCTAACCAGGTTTTTAAAATGAGGTTGTTACAATACTTGCAAAGTTTGATGATTTAGCTCTGAAAATACAGTTTTTTTTAAAGAATAAACAAGTTAAAATGGCGGCTTTGATGTGTGAGGGTTATTTTCCATGACACATTAGAACACGAACTCCTTTTTAATTCATTATTTAATTTCGAAAACATCTCCAGATATTCATTCAAACATAATATTTCTAGCCAGCTTTTTCAAATAAGGTTTTTACATTACATATACTTGCAAAGTTACATAATTGAGCTCTGAATATACAAGTTAAAATGGCGGCTGTGATGTGGGAGGGTTTATTCCTTTCATGACACCGGCACTACTTACTAGTTCATTATTCAATTTCAAAAACGTATTCAGATATTACATTATATTTCTAACCAGCTTCTTAATATAAGCCATTTATGTCTAGGATATGTGACATGTTGACACGAACTACACGACCGAATTCTCACTGGTAACACATTGACCAGACTATCGCCACCAGCTAGGATCGATATCATTTTGCTTCGACATGTGCTTTCAGTAGCTATCAAAACAAGCACTCACAGACCAGGTTCCGAGTGATAGCGCCGCCCCGCAACCCAAGTTTCGCGGCGTATCTTATTCCACTGCCTTAACAATATGATCATGCGTGTTTTTGCGAGATCTGCGTGAGTTGCCAATCTCTGTAATATAAATGTATAAGTCTCTGTTTAAACACAATATTTATATACAGGAACTGGATTAGTTTGGATTTATTGGCGCTCTCAGTTGACATGTATATGATAAAATTGGAAGATTTATTCTGAAAATAGTGTTTCACAATTCATCACTCATTTTTTTCCACTTTCAACATTGGGGACAAAAAAAGGCGCCGGCACACCCTACTACCTGTGTTAGTTGGTTGATCGGTAATTAGTTCACCTTGAATTCACATGTACATCAGGTACATTAGGTGTCGTAAATGCAATTTGGCCAAGGTATTAAGTGGCAAGACCTACAGGTAGTACCTTATAACATTCTATCTGTATATCTCAGTTTGAGGTTACATTGAATGTATGCTGGCCCGGAATTAGATTTCCGTGATTCAGGCTTGACTGTTAATAACTTCTCTTTAGGATAAGAACACTATTGATGTCTTTATTTGTCTGTTATTCAGATTTATTTGTAAAGAGCGTGTGCTAATTCTATAAAGTGATATATTCTATTTTTTCTATGGTCGTATACTTACTAAAAATTAACCATATACACATATATAATAAAATTTAATAAATTATAAGAAAGTAATGCTTATGAAATGCTGTTCTTCGACCACAGTGACATGCATCCTTAACAAGTTCGACAAGCTAAGGCAAGCGCCCAGGCACCAAGATGAAAACATGATCATGTGACCAACATGTATTTATCGCCATTTTGTATTGTGTTGGCAGTTGTATCTACTGATTTCTGCTGGTTGACAGCAAGTGACAGTCGTTCCTGTTTTCTGTGGGGGAGATAACCTCAGGGATATATTTGACACATCTCCTTAGTTAACACCAACTTGAAGATTTCCGAGCAACCGGATATTTATGATTTCTTGGTAAGAATTGCCCGAGGAAATGTAATGGATCGGTGTGTAAAAAAATGTCGTCCGTCGCGTTCATGTGTTGTCATTTATAGACTCAAGAAGCAAAACCCATGTCGAATGATATACATCATTGCTGTTACTGTGTATCTACGTATCTACGAGATACCTGAGAAATTACGCTGAGTTCTTCAGTGTACGTTAAGAATTATGAGTTGGATAAATTTAGTTTTGTACTAACGGAGAGTTGATGACAATGATGTGTTGATTAACCGCTCGTGATCGTTTGACAGCTTAATAATGATTACTTCATGAGAAGGCCTAGTTCACTGAACGTCGCTTTACGTGCACGGCATATCAATGTTTTAAACCCTGTGTCTTTGCTTAGTATAAGGGAACCAAATGTATCTTGTTCCTAATCAGGTGTTGAATTGGTATTTTAAAAAAAAAAGAGTATTTTTTTTGTGTTAAAATGTGTGGTAGTTGTTAGACCGGTATGTGAAACGTATGTCCTGGAGTGCACAGGCCATTAAGGACATATTTGGGTGCTCATCCTAAATATTTTAGGGGCCTCTTCTCCTCGTGTGTTATGTTTGTCTCAAAGCTAAAATTCTCTATCAGATATATCTGATAGTTTGATTATCTATCGTGTTGTGCAGCAAGTGTCATTTTCAAAATATTGTTTGTACTGCTCTGTTGGTGACCTTTTAATTACACATGTCCATGAAGTTTGTCATATGATGTCTTTTTTTGAGTCAGTTTGACATATTTATATACCACAGGCACTTACAAAAATGTAGGCAGTATTTTTCTTATGACATCAAAGAACACATCCAGATTTGCAACAAAAACCTTTCAAGACAGAGATGTTCTCAACCTGATAGGCATTATGTATGTCTTTTTGTATTAAGGATCGTGGATTGTTTATTAGTGATTTAAAGAATATTTCCAAAGTGTTTCTAGCAACTTGAAAGTAACCATATAGGATTTGGATATATATACACATTTCACAATAATTAAATAACTTAGCAAATACACATGAACAGTGTAAATTTGTGATGGAGCAGTGCTGACAAATTTTTGGAAATAAAAAATAAATAAGGGACATGTTGCCAATTTATTTCTTCACTCTAGATCTATGTACTCACATATTTTGAAAATTTGATATTATTTTTTTCATAACTGAAACAATGCCTAATTTATAATTTTCCTGTTATTTAAGGTACTCTGATCATGTCCAGTGTTGACAAGGAGAATGAAGACGTAACAGAAAACCCACACCCTGAAGATGAAGCAGAATCTGACCTGAACCTTCCTGAGGGAGCTGAAGGTCAGTATGGCATTGAGGATGGAGCAGAAGGTCAGGGCAGGAATGAGGCAGAGAGTGAGGACAGCATAGAGGAAGGTACTGAGGCAGAGCTGGAGGCAGAGGATGAAGCGTTGGCCCACCAGGCTGTGGCCAGACCAGTGGAATCGGCCAGCAGTCAGGATGAAAGGAGCAACACTGAAGCAGGGGAGGAGGCAGATTCTGACTCTGAAACAGAAGACTTTGTTATGCAAACTGCTGAAGGAGCATCCCTTGTAGAGGGACAGGAAAGCAGGAACTATGAAGGAGGGGGAGATAATCCAGAGCAGGATATGCATTCGGGCAATTCCACAGGGGCAGAGGGTAATGTGGATATTCCTACACAACATGAACAATCATGTGATTTGGCAGAGGCAGATGTTGGTGTGATAAATGTAAAGGGTAATCTGGGAGACAGAGACATGGAGACAGAATCTGACAGGCATCTTGTTGACAGTGATGTGTCCTGTAGGACTAAGGAAGATAATTTGGGTGAGAAAAAAATCTCTATGGTAGAGTCTGGTGAGGATTTGGTTGAGGCGGATACGAAAATGGTTAGTGAGTCTGTTGAAGCTGATTCTGACATGACCTGTGGAAATGAGAACATTACTGACCAGGACTTGCCAGAGAGTAGTGCTAGTGCACTTAACTCTGAACGGCCAAGACTGTCAGAGGAGGCGTGTAGGAAAATGGACGATGAAGAGGAATCGGTCAGTGTAAAGGAAGATGTGACTGAGGATGCCAGTAATATTCTTCTGGAGGATGAGTTGGGTAGTGTTCATGACAAACAAGTACTTCACATCAAAAAGACACTTCATCGTGGTGAAAGTGGAGAGTCTTGGGAGCCAGAATGTGATCAAGACTCTGATGAAATGCGAGGTCCTATAGAATCACCTGATTCTAATAGTCAGTCAAATGTTTGTGAGAGTCAAAGTCCAATAAATCATTTAAATCAGGAACCATCAGTCACCTGTGAGAGAATTGAGTTGGTTGTGACTGAAGACAGTGTATTACAGGAAAGCACTGTTGAAACTTCTAATCACCAAGGTTTGGCTGTGTGTCCACAAAATCAACATTCTAGTCAACGTGTGAGTGACTCGAACAGCTCCATGTCTACTGTTCCTGAGGTTACTGGGAATGGAGAATGTTCAGCTAGTCAGGGGATAGACCAGCGTCTTTCACACGACACAAATAAGGGAAATAACTCTGTGTGTGACGATACTGTAAATACTGATACAAATACAGGGAATAACAACTCTATATGTATTGCTAGAGACATTCACGAAAAACATTCCAGTGAGGATTCTCATGCCTCTCACAAATACAATGACGAAGACTGCAGCCGCCTCAGTACAGATTCACCCAGTAGTGATGCTGACAGAGGTACACAAAAGGGGAATAACTCTGATAGGGACAAGGCAGACAACTCTAAAAAGAGTAGTAGTGACAAACATTTGGATTATAGACCAAACATAAGTAAACAATTAAAGGAAGCAACACAACAAAACTGTGATATGGTTAAACCGTGCCTGCCTAGTAAAGTAGGTACAGTAGATGACGATCTTTTAGATGAGCTGGAATCAGAATTGACCAATCAGAATCCAGAAAGGTCAGCTGTTGGTATCATTGACCCAGATTTGACATTAACGTTGGATAGTGAAAGTGGAGATGCCACTCCTACTGGCAGGCTAAGTCCAGTGCTTCCGAATGGTTTTGTCCATGTGGGTGTCCACTCAAAGCTGGTACAGAAGTTACAGGCCTTACAGCAGGAGATAAAGAGGTCCAAGGGCCACATACAGAAAGAACAAAAGGAAACCCAAAGGTAAAAATGTCACTGGATTTTACATATATACAGAAGATGAGTGATTTGAATGTATTTCATGTACATTTAGGAACAGGGCTGTCACCTGGTCTGTGCTGGGTACCGGTATACGTACTTCTACATAATTTTTGTCACAAAATACCCCCCCCAAAAAATAAAACACAACCAATATCATGCCCAGCTACGTTCAGGCCAGGATTTGTCATTACAAAGGTGAAATCTGTTAGGTAGTGGTGTAACGATATATTTTACTATCGATAGATTACAATTGTACACCTCTCGGTTTGATTAATTGATGACAACTTAATGAACTTGATAACAATCGTCGATATCATGCTAAACAATTCGATAGTTTCAAAACTTCTATAACACTTACAGTTTTCATTATCACACCATGCAATTATGAGTACTGATAATTCAGTCGTTATCATTAAGACGCACTTGACTGTGCTAACACAAGGTGTCGGGCGCAGTAGTCACTATAAGATATTAATCTCAGTGGGTTTTAATTGCATAAATGCATGACTAATTTGCATATTTAAAAAAAAATGACCTTATACCAACGAACCTTCAAAGAATTGATAGAAAGACAAAGGTAAGCAAAGTATCCAATACTATTGCAATACTATTGTGATAGTATACCACAATAATTGAATTATCGCAATAGTGTTTCCCCCAATAGCAAAAGTGAAAGAAAAAAACATGCAATAGCTATAGTCACCCCTACTTTTAGGAGTCAAAAATGGGCAGATATAATACTTTCTCCGAGTATCTCTGAATGTAGAACACTGTACGCTCCTAATCTGATTTACGACAATCTTTGGCCATGTTTAGGCTATAGCTATTGTTAATATTTGTTTTGTTTGTTATGGGAGTTTTTGGTTGACACAAAAGTATTAAAAAGTTTCCAACTTTCATGTATCAGGTATGACTTCAAGCTGATTCCATTTGAAGCAAGTTAGTTTGGAACAGATATAAAGGGCTAGGCATTTCTGTTGACATTAGAAAATACATGTACACAAAGTAGCTAGCTGTGTTATTCAAAATGAATCTAGAAATATAATATGTACACACCTTTTGTTACCAGAGAGAAATCAATAAAGGTTCACATGTCGGTACTGTAAAAGAAATATGACATTGTACATAAATATGTGTTTCTTTCCTGAGTACACACTATACATACCACACCAGTTACATGTAATGTAACTCACAGGGTATCAAGAAACACACAATATATAATAATAATTGAAGGTTAAGGATATAACACTGCATCAGTGATAATTATAGAAGAGTTTCACTTTTTGAGCTATTTTTCTACTTTAAATGAAATAATAACAAGATTTTTTTTTTCTGGTTTAGAGTTACTTCCCTTGTCAAATAATTCATCTTTTATTTCGATGTTATGCATCCGTAGGACCAACAGTGTATAGGTGCCAAGTTAAAAGTGTATCCATAGGACCAACAGTGTATATAGGTGCCAAGTTAAAAGTGTATCCATAGGACCAACAGTGTATATAGGTGCCAAGTTAAAAGTGTATCTGTAGAACCAACAGTGTAAAGGTGCCAAGTTAAAAGTGTATCCATATGACCAACAGTGTATAGGTGCCAAGTTAAAAGTGTATTTGTAGGACCAACAGGGAATAGGTGCCAAGTTAAAAGTGTATCCGTAGGACCAACAGTGTATATAGGTGCCAAGGTAAAAGTGAATCCGTAGGACCAACAGTGTGTATAGGTGCCAAGTTAAAAGTGTATCTGTAGAACCAACAGTGTATAGGTGCCAAGTTAAAAGTGTATCCATAGGACCAACAGTGTGTAGGTGCCAAGTTAAAAGTGTATTTGTAGGACCAACAGGGAATAGGTGCCAAGTTAAAAGTGTATCCGTAGGACCAACAGTGTATATAGGTGCCAAGTTAAAAGTGTATACTTAGGACCAACAGGGAATAGGTGCCAAGTTAAAAGTGTATCCGTAGGACCAACAGTGTATAGCTAAAGGTGCCAAGGTAAAAAGGTATCAGTAGGACCAACAGTGTATATGTATAGGTGCCAAGTTAAAAGAGTATCTGTAGGTATAGGACCAACAGTGTATAGGTGCCAAGTTAAAAGTGTATCCGTAGGTATAGGACCAACACTATATAGGTGCCAAGTTAAGAGTGTATCCATAGGACCAACAGTGTATAGCTATAGGTGCCAAGATAAAAGGGTATCCGTAGGACCAACGGTGTATATAGGTGCCAAGTTAAAAGTGTATCCGGAGGACCAACAGTGTATAAGTGCCAACTTAAAATTGTATCTGTAGGACCAACATGTGTACAGTGTATAGGTGGCAAGTTAAAAGTGTATCCGTAGGACCAACAGTGTATAGGTGCCAAGGTAAAAGTGAATCCGTAGGACCAACAGTGTATATAGGTGCCAAGTTAAAAGTATATCCATAGGACCAACAGTGTATATAGGTGCCAAGTTAAAAGTATATGCATAGGACCAACAGTGTATATAGGTGCCAAGTTAAAAGTGTATCTATAGGACCAACAGTGTATATAGGTGTCAAGTTAAAAGTGTATCCTTAGGACCAACAGTGTATAGGTGCCAAGTTAAAAGTGTATCCTTAGGACCAACAGTGTATATAGGTGCCAAGTTAAAAGTATATCCATAGGACCAACAGTGTATATAGGTGCCAAGTTAAAAGTGTATCCGTAGGACCAACAGTGTATAGGTGCCAAGGTAAAAGTGAATCGGTAGGACCAACAGTGTATATGTATAGGTGCCAAGTTAAAAGTGTATCCTTAGGACCAACAGTGTATATAGGTGCCAAGTTAAAAGTGTATCCTTAGGACCAACAGTGTATAGGTGCCAAGTTAAAAGTGAATTTGTAGGCCCACCAGGGAATAGGTGCCAAGTTAAAAGTGTATCCGTAGGACCAACAGTGTATAGGTGCCAAGGTAAAAGTGAATCGGTAGGAACAACAGTGTATATGTATAGGTGCCAAGTTAAAAGGGTATCCTTAGGACCAACAGTGTATATAGGTGCCAAGTTAAAGGGGACCAACAGTGTATAGGTGCCAAGGTAAAAGTGAATCGGTAGGAACAACAGTGTATATGTATAGGTGCCAAGTTAAAAGGGTATCCTTAGGACCAACAGTGTATATAGGTGCCAAGTTAAACATGTATCCATAGGACCAACAGTGAATATAGGAGCCAAGTTAAAAGAGTATCTATAGGACCAACAGTGTATATAGGTGCCACGTTAAAAGTGTATCTATAGGACCAACAGTGTATATAGGTGCCAAGTTAAACGTGTATCCATAGGACCAACAGTGCATATAGGTGCCAAGTTAAACATGTATCCATAGGACCAACAGTGAATATAGGAGCCAAGTTAAAAGAGTATCTATAGGACCAACAGTGTATATAGGTGCCACGTTAAAAGTGTATCTATAGGACCAACAGTGTATATAGGGGCCAAGTTAAAAGTGTATCCATAGGACCAACAGTGTATAGGTGCCAATTTAAAAGTGTATCTATAGGACCAACAGTGTATAGGTGCCAAGTTAAAAGTGAATACGTAGGACCAACAGTGTATATAGGTGCCAAGTTAAACATGTATCCATAGGCCCAACAGTGTATATAGGTGCCAAGTTAAAAGTGTATCTATAGGAACAACAGTGTATATAGATGCCAAGTTAAAAGTGTATCTATAGGACCAACAGGGTATATAGGTGCCAAGTTAAAAGTGTATCCATAGGACCAACAGGGTATATAGGTGCCAAGTTAAAAGTGTATCCATAGGACCAACAGTGTATAGTTGCCAAGATAAAAGTGTATCTATAGGACCAACAGAGTATATAGGTGCCAAGTTAAAAGTGTATCCATAGGACCCAACAGTGTATATAGGTGTCAAGTTAAAAGTGTATCTATAGGACCAACAGTGTATATAGGAGGTGCCAAGTTAAAGGTGTATCCATAGGACCAACAGTGTATATAGGTGCCAAGTTAAAAGTGGATCCGTAGGACCGACAGAATAGGTGCCAAGTTAAAAGTGTATCCGTAGGACCAACAGTGTATAGGTGCCAAGTTAAAAGTGAATACGTAGGACCAACAGTGTATATAGGTGCCAAGTTAAAGGTGTATCCATAGGACCAACAGTGTATATAGGTGCCAAGTTAAACGTGTATCCATAGGACCAACAGTGTATATACGTGCCAAGTTAAACATGTATCCATAGGACCAACAGTGTATATAGGTGCCAAGTTAAACATGTATCCATAGGCCCAACAGTGTATATAGGTGCCAAGTTAAAAGTGTATCGATATGACCAACAGTGTATAGGTGCCAAGTTAAAAGTGTATCCATAGGACCAACAGGGTATATAGGTGCCAAGTTAAAAGTGTATCCATAGGACCAACAGTGTATATAGGCGCCAAGTTAAACGTGTATCCATAGGACCAACAGTGCATATAGGTGCCAAGTTAAACATGTATCCATAGGACCAACAGTGAATATAGGAGCCAAGTTAAAAGAGTATCTATAGGACCAACAGTGTATATAGGTGCCACGTTAAAAGTGTATCTATAGGACCAACAGTGTATAGGTGCCAAGTTAACAGTGTATCTATAGGACCAACAGTGTATATAGGTGCCACGTTAAAAGTGTATCTATAGGACCAACAGTGTATATAGGCGCCAAGTTAAACGTGTATCCATAGGACCAACAGTGTATATACGTGCCAAGTTAAACATGTATCCATAGGACCAACAGTGAATATAGGAGCCAAGTTAAAAGAGTATCTATAGGACCAACAGTGTATATAGGTGCCACGTTAAAAGTGTATCTATAGGACCAACAGTGTATATAGGCGCCAAGTTAAACGTGTATCCATAGGACCAACAGTGCATATAGGTGCCAAGTTAAACATGTATCCATAGGACCAACAGTGAATATAGGAGCCAAGTTAAAAGAGTATCTATAGGACCAACAGTGTATATAGGTGCCACGTTAAAAGTGTATCTATAGGACCAACAGTGTATAGGTGCCAAGTTAAAAGTGTATCCGTAGGACCAACAGTGTATAGGTGCCAAGGTAAAAGTGAATCGGTAGGAACAACAGTGTATATGTATAGGTGCCAAGTTAAAAGGGTATCCTTAGGACCAACAGTGTATATAGGTGCCAAGTTAAAAGGGTATCCATAGGACCAACAGTGTATAGGTGCCAAGTTAAAAGTGTATCTATAGGACCAACAGTGTATATAGGTGCCAAGTTAAACGTGTATCCATAGGACCAACAGTGTATATAGGTGCCAAGTTAAACATGTATCCATAGGACCAACAGTGTATATAGGTGCCAAGTTAAAAGTGTATCCATAGGACCAACAGTGTATAGCTATAGGTGCCAAGGTAAAAGTGAATCCGTAGGACCAACAGTGTATAGCTATATATATAGGTGCCAAGTTAAGTCTTATATTTCTTTTTTCTTTTTTCATGTATATTTTTCATTGAGGAAAATTTTAAATACTAAATGTTAAATGCTTCATTTTCAAAATTTGATGTCAGATGGAAAAGTTCTGTAGAATTAGACTTGGACAAATATTTCATGACAGTGACTGGTAATAATCTATTTTAACTTTGTGATGCCTTTTACTTGAATACATGTACATAATAATATATGTGTTTACTATATGTACATATTATGTTCATGTGCAAATTAGGTAAGATTTTGTACATACATGGGAATATGCTGGTATACCAAATGTAAACCAGATAATACATTTATACCTGGCCTGACATGTCAATACTGTGTGTCCAGCTGTGTCTAAGTCACTATCAGTAAATACCCAGACAAATGTTGTACCTACAAATGGGCATTGATTTCTGTTGCCCTCACCTTACACAGGTCTAAACCTAGATGAATAATTGATGGTTATAGCTGCTCTACGTTGTGTAGTAGATCTATAGAATGGCAATAGATAAAAACGTCTGAAATAAGTATAGATTTCTATTTGGCTTTTCCATTTTAAAGCTGTAGTTATATAATTAGCTCACCTGGCACGAAGTGCCAAGTGAGCTTATGCCGTGGTGCGGCGTCCGTCGTCCGTCCGTCCGTCCGTCCGTCGTCCGTCCGTCGTCCGTCCGTCGTCAATATTTTACTTTAAACGACTTCTTCTTAATAACCGAAAGGCCTAGGGTGATGATATTTGGCCAGAAGCAAACTGGGATGAAGGGCTACCAAGTTTGTTCAAATAAATGACCTTCATCTATTTTCAAGGTCACAGGGGTCAAATATGTTAAAAACTTTAAACAACTTCTTCTCAATAACCAAA